GCCGCGTGGAAATAAATTGAAATTTTGTTGAAATAGGTGAACGCGTCAGATCACGACGAGGGCAAGTGCGTTAAAAGCGGATAACAAAAATAATCGAGATCGACACACATATACAGATAAATTCAGAGTGGACTCGAGTTAGCGTGATCCATGGCGTGATTGTCATAATTATAACATCATATTAAAACTTTACTTGGTGGAAACACATTGACCAAGCCCGGATTCTTATTTCAGAAATTATTACGCAGATCAAGCTGCAAGCATGGAGGTAAAAAAAGAACAAAGGTGTGAATTCGACATTCAACACCAATCACCAAACAAGTCAGGAACTTTTAGCCTTCGAAAATGAAAACAATTAGCAGTGTGTAAGGGCTGTGTAATTTCCTGTTTTTCCGACGCTTCGTTTTCGTGTCACTGTCAAAGTTATGCTACCTTTTGCTACCTTTTACTTAACAGGGACTAAATGGTTTCTATAAAACGATAATCAGGATCGCAAAAAAAGTCAACTCATTTGAAACACTTGCCGGACGTCTACAAAATGTATCTCTCTTCTGAAATCCACCTCGGTGATCATGGGCTGGTCCGGAATCTATTTCTTTCAAAAGTGTTGCGCCAGGTTTATGTTGTCGGCGTTTCTCTTTAAACCTAGTTGTTTTTTTGTCATGGACGAGGACAGTTTTTCCAAAAAAGGAATCTGAGGCTAAGTGGCTTTCGTCCACTGATGTCGCACCTTCGGATCAATTAGAAACGTGTGAATACTTACACTATGACTATACGTTTCACTGCAACTGCCCACAACACAACATCTAAAAACTCTCTCTCTCTCAAAAAAGAAAGAAAATAGACCAAAAAAAGAAAAAAAACGCCGACTGAAAAATGTATATCGTTTAAAAGTATACTGAATGACCAGTGTTATTACGGCTCAGGGGTATGACTTCTTCTCACATTTTTTCATTTGGTGGCGCACTTTTGACGAGTGTCGGAAATCCGGAAACAGTCGACTGTTTCAGAATAAGTGGGCATGGCTACAACACGAGAAATATCCCAAATTTACTTGGATACGAGTAATCATTTTCAGCAAAAAAATCAATAACTGCCCATTTCAGTGGAACACAGATCTAAAATGGGAAACGTGAGGGCAGGCATTGCACAGGCACTTTAAGATTAGGTGCATTCATTCACAGTCAATCAGACTACCGGTACTTGTGATGTAGGTCTTTTATTGTTTCAGTACAGGATACTATAAAGGCATTACAACAATGAAATCCTGATACTGTCTGAAACAGGAACTGTATATTGGATGTCACTCATTTCTAAAATTAGTTCAAAGTAGGTGCAAAGCCAAGACATAATGGGAGATGTATGTAATTAATTTTTTTTGAGTCATTGACATTTTTTTCTATTTATGTTGTGATTCATTTCTCCAACAAGCTTTGATAGACTTTGTTCAAATTTGGTGTAAATGCTAGACATACTGGTGCTTTGGGTTTCAGTAGATTTAACCAACTAGCAGCCTTTATAAAAATAACAAAATGTCAGTTTCTCTGGACTGATTTTATTCAAACACTGGCTAAACATTAAACACAGTGGGTTACAGTAGTCACATAAAAGTGAAATCGCCTTTCCAACTGTGATAGCGCCATCTTTAGTTCATTTCAAGAAACATGCCCGAGGCGCGACTTAGCGAGGGGACACTGTAAATGGCTTTCATTTCCTGCCACATTTCAATTTGAATATTTAAAGGATTTCGTAATATTTATTCATTTTTGACAATTTTCAAATTATGTATGAATAGATTGAAATGATTTAAAAATATTTTCCCAAGTGAGGTGAATAATCCCTAGATGAATATGGCCAAGGCCAAGTGTGCAGAATAGTCTCCCATTGATTTAACCATGGTATTTGGACCATTGGATGTGGTAATGGGGGAGAATGGGACACTGCTTGAGGGGCACATGTAAAAAAAAACTAATATATTTTCAGTATCTAAAAACAACAAAATAGACACGCTCTTATCAGTCAAACCAAGCGTTTGTTCAAACAATAAGGCAGGGGTGTGAATGGCTATATATGTACTGATAGGTTTAGTATGAAACCAGAAATAATTTGGTCGCATTTTTTTGTTTCATGTGAAACATGTAGTGAAGTCATCAAAATTTACTGAAAAACAATCAAGCAAACCGGGCATTTCATACATTAAAACATTGATTGACAAGGGATTATTATTCAATATGATGGGATTTAAATCAAAAAGTTACTGTGAATTTTTTTGTACAAAATACAAGACAGATGGCTTTCTCAGTCTTCAGGAAATCTCAGTGGCCATATGTGTTTGTCTATTTAATGATCTTTTGATTATGGTACTTACTGTGAACTGCATTATTTTCAGGACACAAATTTTGATTCCAAATGCTTACAACTGTTTTCTTGTTTAAACAATATTTTTAAATTAAATAAGAACTAAAGGCACTTGCACAATAACATGACATTTCATTATTTTTAAAACAATATTTAATTCTGTTTTTTAAAATACATTACACTTTTTGTTTTTTCCTTCTGGTTTTGATTATTTTTGATGGTTTTTTGGGCAAGACTTTTGTCTTTTTGCTTTTTATTCTCTTTACTCTTTCAATTGTTTGTTTTTTGTTCAATGTTTTCATATACGGTAGACATGCAGAGAAATCCATCTTTGCTAATTTCTCTTCTGGCATTCCAACAATGGCTTTGTCAATTTCTGCTTGTATTGTTCTTTGAAGAAATGGTCGTTCTGGTGCAGAAAACTACAAGAAATTGATAACATGGAGAAGTCAGATAATTTATGTCTATTATACAGTGTGTATTATCCCTTTGTATTAAAGCGAAAGTCATTTTTGTCGCCTTACACAGAGGGGACAAGGGTTATTTTTGTTCAACGTAATTGCAATATTTTTTTGTTCGTACAACGTAAATTGAAAAAAAAAATCTGTAATTCTGTAATCACAGGCTAGACGTACAACGTAGTCTATCAAATATTTTTTTCATACACTGTAAAAATGTGCAATTTTTCTTGGTACGTACAAGAATTTACATCCAAATAAAAAAAAGTCGTAAAGAATCTTCCAAGGAAATTACATTTTCGGAACTGTAAAATGACTAGATGACACAATTCACTGCAAAATTCAATTTTCACTGCAAACTGTAAAAACGTCTTTTTTCCTTGTAAATTGTACTACACAGTACATGTATAAAGTTTTATAACTTTTTTCATATTTTTATATTCTCTTTGGTTCGAAAACAAATTCATAGAGAAATGAATAAAAAACTTGTGGTCATCCATTCACACTGTCTAGATTTTCATTTGTTTCCCTATGTTCTGAGATTTCATAATGACAACAAACACTATTGCCAATGACTATTTTTAATAAACCTGCTACAAAATGGAAAGCTAAATGATGTATACATTACCTTTTTTCTTTGTTGTTTTACTGGTGGTTGGATAGGAGGATTAAAGGCCATTTGTAGGGGATCATAGATTTCATATAAAACTGAAGGTGATCTGTAATAATAAATAGAAACATTAATGGATTTATGACTGAGCATACAGAAGCTCTTTGTTTTGTGAAAACTGAGATGCTGTCATGATTTATTTCATTCCTTCTTCCCAAGTTTGAATTCTATGAAATTACATAATTTTGTGTTAAGTCAAAGTAGATGCTATTAATTTGTAATGACCTCCGACTGTCCCTTTAACCATTTCACGGATATGATTTGACTGTTTTTTGTTAGGTAGGTATAATTACAAAACATAATGGTATTCATATGTACATTTGTTTCAACATGTCATCAACCATTTCTCTGATTTGTCTAATTGGTACTTCCCATCTGTTGCAGAGAGACAAGACATGATGGGTATTTCTTATAAGATTTCAATATCTATGTAGGTTTCTCCTCTAATATTTGAATGCTGTATTCACAACCAGTCTTACATGTAGACTGGGTAAACACTATATGAATGATTTCGAGTGATACAATATAATTGAACATTATTTTAGTTATTCATGACATCCAAGGACCTGTATTTCTTTTTCAAAGACACTTATCATAGTATCACTACAGAATTTATCTGGTTACGTAACAGTACTCAAACTATCCATCTGGCGTTCCACTAAAAATACAACATACAAAATGACAAACAATGTCACAGTGTATCCTGTTTTAAGCTACGCAGATTCAAGACAAAACCCTCTCAAATTTAAGTCCTTATTTAAGATTTCAAATTACATTTCCTTTCCTGAAACATTTCTTAGTTTTATAATTGGATGCATGATATTTAAGGATTAATGTTTTTAAAATGTAAATAATTATTTTCATAGTAA